ATTACTAAGGTATATTATTCTACAGATACATACTCAATATAATTGCTTTTTTTTTGTACCAGAATAACACAATTTAAACAAAACACAAGGCATTGGAATCTATCGGATATTTGTGTGTATATATATAAAAGTTTCAATTCTTGTCCCTTGATTTTGCATTGAAGAAAGTGTCAGGAGGAATTTTTGACCACCCTAGAATGTGGCAGCATTCTGAAAAGCTATGTGCTTTGTATTTTCTAATTAAGACTGAAATTGTACACATAATCCCCCTGCTAGTAAGGAACTGAGACTTAAAAAATCAAAAGTTTCTTGGTTTTTTTAATTGTACTTCTATGTCATTCTGTGTGGCTACACTTCATCTAGACAGATAGACAACTCAAACCAAAGAGGGAACACGATCATCAAATAGATCATGCAATACATTATTGGTCCAGTTTGTGAGAACACAGTTATTACAATAATAAAATTTGACCTGCAGACTCAAATTTGAGACTTCAGCCATTGACTGAAGCATACCTTGGTCCTTCAAAAAGAGGAAATGCACAATATCTCCAGTCTTGGAAAGTTCCTGATGCTCTTACCCCTTCAGAAAGCACAGGGCCTACCACAATGTCCGAAGTCTTAAGCGACATCCTAAGAAGTTTGCCCTATTATTGTTGCAGTTGGCTATTTAGTTTTCTTTCTGACACACTACAGACAGAAAGAGCACCTTTAGGGTCTGATTCTGCGTTTCTCAAAACACCCACTGAAGTCCATAAAAGTATGGTGTACCTGGAGACTGTAGCATCAGGCTCCCAATTACTGTTCCGTTACTCAGTGAAATTTTACCTAAAGGTTTAATTATATAACTGTAACAGATATGTATTACTCTATTTTTATTTTTTCTTATCTGCAAGATGTCAGGAATTTGCACAGACCACTCTTTGAGAAGAAATATTAAAGAAATGTAAATTGTCTGGATGTCCAAAAGTACAGAATAGAGGTATCTCTTCATTTGAGAGCTGAAAGGTTTAATATTCAGACTAATATTTCTCTTCTGTAGCTAAGACATTGGATTTCTAATCTGTCAACAGTCTTTTTTTATAAAAGAGATGTATGGATACTTCTATCCATTTTTAATTAAATTTTATAAATTATGATCTGTATATTATTACGTCTGAGTTGCAAATTGACTAGAACACATAAACAAATATTAAAAGGACTGAGGCCCTGATCTGCTTCCCACGAAAGCCAGTGGAAGGGGAGCCATAAATTTCTATGGGAGAATTGCAAATAGTTTTGTGCTAAAGGAAGAATTGTGGCATCAGGTGAAGCAAAGTACAAAAGAAATGTAATTAAAGTACACAACGTTATCATATGTTCAAAAAAGTTTAAAAATCTTCAAATTTTACAAGCATTATATTTTTCAGATTTGAATAACTTGAAAAGAGAAAAAAGGATCTTTCAGCAATCTCAACAGATATTTTAGGCTGAATAGATATTTAGGTAGAATGCAGGATAAGGCCCAGAATGTTTATGTTAAACAATAATAAATTGTCTATGCTGGGAAACTCAATTTGAACTGCAGTTGCAAAGGTTTCTTTCCTCTTTTCTTATCGTTTTTTTTTCTCCCCTAACTGATCTGGTTCAGCCAGGGCGTAGCTGTAATTACCTTCTTCCCATCTACAGCTAATACCTCAGAGTAATAAAAAAAACTGAGGGTGTTAAAATTTCAAACACTAGTTGTGGGCTGTTATATTTACTAAACACAGCAGAGTAGTAACAAAAGTTTCATCTTCTTGTGGCCAGCACTGCTCTGTTTGATCTACCAAGTCCCCGGACCTTTTGCACTAACTATATTATATAACGGTTAATAGCACACTAAAATAAAATTCGATAAACACACTTATTACCAAACATGTACAGCAAAATCACTTACAGCTGTCTCCTTTTTCCAGCACAGGGATATCTCCGAAGAGTTCATTCCTTTGTTGATTTTGGTTTTGGTTTCCAATTAGGTGATATAAATAGCAGAGCAGTGGATTTTGAAAGGGGAAGCATGCACTATTTGAGTACCTCATTTAAAGTCTTATGGTAATAAGGTAATATGGTAATAAGGTAATATGGTAATAAATATTGGTTAATCCTACAACTGTTTCTGTTACTTTCCCTTTTTCAGGTTTCCATGTCTAGCAAACCAATAAAGCTGAGAGCTGTCTTAGTTCCTAGTTCAGCACTGCCACTGTCACCACTACTACCTCTCACATTCATGTTAAACACACAGAGGGTAGCTTTACACCACTTAACAAGAATAGAGGGGTATGGATTTTTGGGGTGTCAAACAGCTGTCACAAACTGTCACCTCCTCAAGAGAAACCTTGGCACACAACAAATTAACCTACACTTCTTTTGGGCTATCATTATTCATAGCCAATCAGTTGAAATGCTCCTAGTATTTCATGTGCAAATAAAACCATGAGGGGAAGACCCGTGGATCAGAATAGTGGGCCAATACATAAAACAGAGGAAACAACACGCTGTCTCTGTCCTTCTGAAGTGGCTCATCATCTCCCCTGCACCAACTTTCACCAAATGAGATCTAGCCTGAGGCTGTATATTAAATATGCATATCAAGGCAAATGAAAAAAAATAAACCTGGAGAGTCAAATTGGACAAATTTGCATGCTTGAACTGTTACATTTCCAGGTAGATGTTCAGAAATGATAGCTCATTTTTAAATAGACTTGCATGATTATATTAGCCATTTTTTTTAAGCTTTTACTTCTCTGTGAATAAAGGTGAATTTCTTCCTGCTGGAACCTTGTACAGTGCAAATATAAAACATGGTAGTTTGACTAAGCTATAAAAAAGTGTTAAAGTTTTGTCAGGAAAACAAGCTAATATACAAAAAAAAAAAAAAATCCAATAAGGAGACACATTTCCCAAAACGCATGAATAAAATGTAACTATGTGATACAGCTCTTCATTTCCCAGTTGGTGTTCTGGTTGCACAAATTATTGCTTCCTTTCAAAACAAATAGCAGGGGGCTAAAGTAAAAATGTTATAGCTCAAATCTCCAGGAAATAAAAGGCTTTAAATTATAATACCCAATGAAGTGGTAAACCCTAACGGGTGCAAGATAAATGGGTTGTCATATTTATTTTAGTTTGTTTTTGGGGCCACAGATTCTTCTTGGGGATGATAATAGTTACCAAATTATCAAAATGCTAACCCCCTCCACCTCTGTCCTATCATTGTGTGTGAATTTAAATATTATAATGGAGCACTGCAAATTGGCTTGAGCATTTGCCATCTGCCAGAACCCTAAACAAGCTAGTTTATCTAATCTCTTCAATATAAACATAAGCATGCTCCATTTCTACACTTCCACTTGAAACACAGGCTTGTAAAGAAACTGTACTGGAGAAACATGTTAGTTTTTTTCTGTTTCTCTAAATTTTACACAATGAATCACTATCTTTCAGCGTGCCACTCATTTCAATTTCTTTTCTAGTATTCTCCCAGGATACTTATGCCCACTAATTTAGGGTTGTAAAATGCCATGATACAAATATTTTTGAAATTGTGTTATGATTCATGGAGTTTATTATCTACATGTGAGATAGCTGATAAGCAGAGAAACTTTCAGGAAGCTCTGCATACCTTTTTCTCTCAAAATAATAGATTTGAAATGTAAAACATAGCACAAACCTTGTCCTGCAATGTTTACTGAATACAAATGAGAAAATGAAAGCTAAGGTTTGGGTCCCAAAATATTTCCCATAACTAAATCGTGCCAGAAGGGGGACATTAGAAGACTTTATTATTATTTTATCTCCCAATTCAGCTTCAGTCCAGGTCTAATGTAATTATCAGATACTCACACAAACAACATGTTTTCAAAGGAAACAAAAGCTCCTAGAAAGCTCATTCTCCCTGGGCTTGCAGCTACTCCTCTTAACACACTGGGAAATAAAGGCAGGCGCCTGGGCAGAAAGCATGGTTAACTTCACACAGGGTGTTAAATTAATATTTCAACCACTAAAATATTAGACTGTATCATTTAGATTAGGAGTTCAATTGAATCTAAAACTGTGTAAACCCCTTTACCCCCCAGGGATGCATTCCTATAAATAAACTGGAGTTCACCCCCACTCCTTTTAACCAGAGCTATTCCTTCCCTTTTCTGCGGTACCAGCTGCAATCTTTCCGTTCACATCCCGAAGTCTCTTTGCATCTACATCTTTTGAAGGATCACAAGAGCCGCTCCAAAACCCGGAAAAACAAAGGCATTCTCCTCACCACGCACACCAACATTTAGTCCTACACACATTACACTAATCCACCAACTCCTAAAGTGTTAAAATCAACCACTAACCTATGGTTACTCAATCATCAATCTCTCCAGCTTTCTGTAATACATTGTTAATAATTGCTTCATCAAGGTTACTGTCTTTTATTATGAAGATGCTTCAGGCATTTGGCAATAAGTCCATATTCTGACAATAAGTTGCTCTAAAGCAAAAGCATTGGAAACTCTAATGTGCTAACCCCCTTTTTTTTTTAATGCAGTGTGGTATTGCCAATAATTCTCATCACTTGTCATCCCCACAAGAGGGGAGGGGGGAGCAAATCAGCAAACTTTCTCCCTAACTTTCTTGTCTCAGTTTCCTTACATTGATGCATTGATTACAAAGTTGGCAAAGAAGAGGAGAATGCACCTATCCCTACATCAAACAGACAATTTGCTAGCTCTCCAAGCAGCCCAGACCAGGAAACTTTACAAACCATTCCAATGGTTTACAGATGCTTTACAGATGGAAACTGAGGGAACCTTTTGAATTTCTATAACTTTACAAAGCAAGAGGGAAGAAAGTGTGAAGATGGGATCTCAGCTTGCAAGAGGTTAAAGTAGTAATAATACTAATAAACAACAGCAGCAAAGCAAGGAAATTGGGAATAGGTCCTCTAAGCAGGTTAAAGTCTCAAAAAATGCCATAAAGAAAACAGAAGGACTTACATGATCGGCTAAATTTGTGGAAGATCCTGAGAGTTCTTCATGGTCTGATTTGGAGCTGCCATCCCTTTCATCAATAACGAGGTCTATTGGCATTTTTCCTTTCAAACAACTAATGTACCGATGGCAGAAGTTATCACACAATTCATGAACCTGAAAAGAATAACAAGAATAATAGTATCAATAATGGCAAACTATCATATTGCAACTTTTTTTTTTTTTTTTTTTTTTTTTTTGGTAGCAAGGACAACCCTCTGTTCTACTCCACAAGTAACTCTAATTAAGGGGGACAATAGTTGAAGGCAAGGAAACAATAGAGAAATTGTTGCGGCACATATTATTCTCTAGAGACTTGTCTCAGCAACAAGTTAGAGAGAGAGATAGTGGGCTTGGACTGGTGTGCAGAATAAAATCAGATTTGATGATAACATCGGAACACTGGGAGCTGGACCCAGACGGTACCTCTGGAGCATACACGAGCCGGACAGGTACAACTAGTCACTCGGGACGGGATTAGTTTAAACCGGGGCTAAAAACAAAGGTCTAAATGGTCGGGAGCGGTAAAACGAAGCTACTCGGTGAGGTTGTGGTTAGAACCGTTCTAATCCCAGGACACAACCCCCTGCCCATGCCGCGCAGGGGCCCCTGCCTCTTCCAAACATTTAGTGCTTGCTTGGGGTTAATGTGCCTGCCAGAGCTGGAGAGGGGAGAGAGTGATTTCATATCTTTTTGTTAAACATATTATTTCTGAGTGAGGAAAAGAATATCTACCGAGGGAAAGGGCAATAAGGATGGAAGGGGTTTAACATATTAAATATTTAAATTAGACAAACACACACACACACATTTAAAAAAAAAAAAAAAAAAAAAAAAAACCGGGCTGGGCCGGGCATGCCTGTCGGGTGTCACATGTTCTGATGGTACAGGTTATAGTGTCACACTGCGTTTCCCCTCTCTCCTCTGGCCATGTTTACAAGTCAGTCCAGTCGGGAGGGAAGGGCGGGGTGGGGGAGGTGACGACAGGGTGGGAATAGCACTCCCCGTGCCCATCTCCGTGGCTCTTACCTTTTCTAATTCCAAAAGATGAAACCTTAGTACTTGTATTGCTTGGATCATCTGCAAGAAAGTTTTGAGCAAGAGGTTACGTGAGAGACAGGACCACGGGGGCTGTGCAGAGCTGCGAGCCCAAGTGGGCAAGGGGGAGAAGGGCATTGTCAGGGCGCGCAGTCATTATCCAGGATTTTAGCTCATTGGTCACGCTTCAACAATTTTGATCAACTTTAACCTAAGCACTTGATTTTTATCGTATTTATTCCAGGAGCGGTGATTAGCGCTTTATTACCGCGATCTTGGAGAAAACCTTTTCCTCTTCTCCTTGCTCCCTTCTCAGCACCCCGGCCTTCATCCCTGAGGGTCCGCAGAGAAGTCAATCACACACTCCCACCCCCACTCCCCTCCATCCCCCGGGCCCGCAGGAGAAAGGGTGGTGAGTGTGTGAATAGTTTAGCATCTTTTCTACAAGCGGATTTAGGCACTTTGAATATTGAAATCATTCACATTACCAAAAGAATTACGTTAGAATTCTCCATCTCTCTCTTCTTAAGAAGTTATTTCCTTTACTTTAGCTTCCCATAGCTTTCAAACGCAGCTTTGCAATGCATAGGGCTCGAGAGTTTGTCCTGGCTCATTTTTAAGAGTACAGCTCTTTGAAGCCCCTTGACTGCAACTCCCCGGTCGGCCGGCGCCCCGCTCCCCTGCCCACGCAGCCCGGGTGCCTGGGCCGGCAGCCGCTGCCCCGCCGCACCGATCTGCCCCGGCCCCGGGCGGCGGAGGGCACTTGCCGGCAGCTGGCAGAGGGGTCGGGAAGGACGAGAGAGCAGTGGGGTGGAAGGGGAAGCAGGCCTTACCAAATTGTCCAACTCTGGATTTGAAGAAAAAAGTGGTTTTTCGGCGCGGACCTGCAAGAAGAAGGAAAAGCGGCGTGAACTACAGCTTCTCTTTTTAGCCCTGTAACCGGATCACTCGAAGGGGGAAAAACCCGTGTGACAAAACCGGCTGCTACCAAAATCCGACTGATCGCCCTGGGTCACCGTGCTTGGAGAGAAGTTGCCGGCCCGGCGTCGAGCCGGCCGCCGGTGACACGGGAGCCCTCTCCTTTGGGTCTCCTTCCTGCCTCCCACTCCCTCTGCCTCCAAAACTCGGCCACAGCTATCTTTCCCTATCACTAATGCAGGAGGGCGAGGGCCGGGAGTCCCAGCCTGGCAGCGTGAAGGAGCTGCCGGCGGAGGGGGAATTAGGGCCAGCCGGGCCACCAGCGCGCACCCCCGCCCCGCCGGAGAGGGGGCGCCGGGGGGGAGGGGGTGCTACCCCTGCCAGCACCCGTCCGTGTGGGTCGAGGAGCTGAGGAGGCGGCGGGAGCGCTGGGGAGGGTCGGGGGCGGGCGGAGAGGTGCCGAACCTGTTTGGCGAAGACGGCAATGTCCTCGTTGAAGGAGTCGGAGGAGCAGACGTCCCCGCCGGCCACGCCGGGCTCCCGGGGCGTGCAGGTCGCCAACTCGCACTTCTCAAAGACCAGAGCTAAGAGGGGGAACAACGGGTGCCTACCGGGCAGTGGCACACAAAGAGAAGGGAGGGGGTGGAGGGAGAGGGGAAAAGAAGAACTCTAATCAACAAGTATTTTTTTTTTTTAATGCATGGACACACAGACATGGACACACGGACGCAGCCACACTCTATAGCCTAGCAGTAACGCTCTGGGCAGAGTAGGAGAGAACAACATTTTGAAATAAAAATGATGAGGTTTGTAGTGGATTGTTTTTTGTTGGGTTACTGGGTTGTTTTTTTTTTTTGTTTGTTTGTTTGTTTTTTTTAAATTGCAATACCCGAACCGCATCCCCCGTTCAGTCCTCACAGATTAGGACAAAAGTGACCGCTCCTCCAAATGCACAAGGCACCGAATGTGCTTAGCAGCAGCTCAGCTGGGAAGCTTACAATTTTTGCCACAGCTCAACATACCGCAAAACGTGGAAGATCCCATCCCTACCCTCCAGCTATGACCTAAAACGAGAGCACAGCTAGGCAAACTGCAAACTCCTTAATACGTAATTTTATTTTTCAAGGGGCCTGCTAGCAAAAATGTGGTGAAGTTTCCTGGCTTAGGAAGCACACCCAAGTAAAATACCATCTGTCCAGATAAGTGAGCAGGGGAGGGGGCGGAGGGAGGGAGCACTTCGTGAAATATTTTCCCATAGTTGGTGTAGTCAGAAAAAAAAATTATCTGCGTGTTAAGTAGTAATCATGCGTTTGCTTCTTTTCCCCTTTGGTGTCTGATCAAGGCCCCACACTCTGTCATAGATGTTACTAGCTCTCATTTGAGGATCATTTAGTATTTTTTCCAAAAGGAATTGCAGGGAATTGGTGTCATTCCCTCCAAGCAATGCCCTGGTGCCTTGAGTTTTGCTGGGTATGTGTCTCTTTTCCTCATGTTCTTTCTTAAGTAGAAAACTCATTTCATTGCCCCCAATGTATTTATGTCTTCTATCTCAGGGAAGAGCTGTTTGCAAGAAGCGAATCCCTTTCATTCTTACTATCTTCTGCGTTGTGAATAGCTCTTTATTTACAAAGTTGGGAGAGTGGTATTGTGGCATGGAGGAGAACACCAGAACAACACTTCTCCAACTAAAATTCAAAGCAGTGAGAGCCGTCTCTAACTCCTAACTGTGGCCTTTCCAAGAAAGACAAAAAAACCCCCACGGGTAAGGAAAAGGGGGTGGGGGGAGAAAAAAAACCTTAGTAAATAAAAAAGAAAAATGGAAGGACAAGGCAACACCACCTCCCCCAAGCCTAGCCTCTCTCCCCGAGAGGTCTGTTTTTCCAGCACCCGTTTCTCGTGGGTGCTGGAACCTCAGCTAAGAGTCAGGCTGGGATCGCCCTCGTCCCGAGATCGCCAGCCGCGGCAGTGCCACCGCGGAGGTCTCCCACCAGAGCGGGCGGCTGGTCGGCCACCGCCCTCCCTCTGGACCCTCCGGGGCTCCTCCCGCCCCACTCCACTCCGGGGCCCGACTGCCGCTGCCGCCGCGGCCCCGCGGGAGCTCCTGCCGCTCGCCCGCCCCGCTTCTACCCTGGCCGCTCCGCGGGCACCAGCGCTGCGGAGCCGGGCCCGGGCGGCCCAGCGGCACCTACCCGTAGATCGCATCCTTGTCCCGCTTCAGGGCGTCGTTGACAGCGGAGCCCATGCTGGCCGGCATGACATTGGGGTGCGGGGCGTGGGCGCCGTAGTGCTGTCCGGCGTGGAGCGGCGGCCCATGGTTGAGGTGGTGCACCGGGGGAATCGGCCGGGGGGCGTGGGGGTCCCCGTACATGGACGCCGGCACCCCTACTCCGTCCATCCCGCCGTAGTGGGGCAGCTCATCGTACTGTCAAAAAATGGGCCGGAAGAGGAGAAAGAAAAAGAAAGAGAAGAGAGAGGGGAATAAAAAAAAAACAAAACAAAACAAAAAACAAACCAAACAAACAACAACAACAAAAGTCAGAAGAGAGTAAAGCACCCGGACAGACACAAACAGAGCAAAACAAAACAAGAACAGCCACAACAGAGAGAGAAATGCGCAAAATGAAATCAATTGGGACCGGGAGCAGGGGCGGGAGAGGATGAGGAAGGAGTGGGGGTGCGGGGAAAGGTAAAGGGGGAAAGCGTGTATGCCTGCCTGCGTGTGTGTGGGTAGACGGTCCTCTTCAGCACGGGCAGGAGAACCCCTAACAAGGAAACGGGAATGAAAAGGAAGGAAACGGAGGAGAGAAACTAGAGTTACTCTGCATTAGAGAGAAAGAACAACAACAAAAAAAATTAATAAACGAGCAGAATCAAAAGCAACTAGGTAAATAAATGAACACTAGGAAGGAGAGAGGTAAGGTAGGGTGCATGGGGAGGGGGGGGAGATAAAGGGGGAAATAATCTGAAAGTTACCAGAAACATTATTTAGTAGCAATTCCCCTTGTCCTTGTCAAAGCCAGAGACAAAAAAAAAAAAAAAAAAAAAAAAAAGGCAGCTATATGTGTATACATATATATACATTCATATATACGCAGACACACACATGTATTTCTTAGTCTTTGCTAGACAGTGGCAGTAGCGGCGGCAGCAGCAGCAGGAGCAGCAGCAAGCTTTCCCCTGTGAAACCCGTGCTACTGAGCAGGCAGAAAGCAGGGAAATCGCTCTGCTGGGGGAAAAGCTAGAAAGGAAAAAAGCGTGGAACAATTGCAGAGACACACACAGAGAGACACTCATGCACACACACAAAAAGCCAGTGAATAATTTTTGCTGCTATTTTTTAATAGTGGCCGCCATCATAAGCAGCAACAGAGGAGAGCAAATCGGACAGGCCCCTCTTAAGAGAGGATTTATATATAGGTAAGTGTTGGAGATTTAAACCTACCCTTTGCGCCATCAGTCTGCGCTCCAATAAACTCCTGGATGTGTCGTATATTTAATATCCCAGTCCAGCAAAGAAAGTGATTTAGAGTGAAGAAGATTCCTTTTTTTTTTTTCAACCCACTTATAGGCTTCTCCTATTCTCCAATATGGGTAAATAATAATAATAACAACAACAACAATAACAACAATAATATATAAAAAACAGTCAAGAACCACGATGAGTTTCTGAGTTTTCTTCTTTTTTCTGTCTCTTTCTCTCTTTCCTTTTTCTCTCTCTCTTTTTCCTTTTTTCTTTCTCTACGCAAAAAAAAAAAAAAAAAAAAAAAAAAAAAAAAAAAAAAAAAAAAAAAAAAAATTGTCAAGCCCCCAAACTGAAGGTTACGATCGGCCCGTCAGCAACCCACATGTAACCAAACTGTCGTGTCTCATGGCTTTTTGCCACTCCAGCTGTCAATCAAAGCCAGGGAATGTCAAGGTAGTGAATGAATGATGGTTGATGATGATGAAGAAGAGAGGAGGAATCTTTTTAACCCCGGTTTCTTCTTCCAGGAACTCCGTGGTCGGGTTTTGCCTTTTAGGATCGCTATAGGGTTGTTGGTTTTTGTTTTTTTGTTTTTGGTTGTTTTTTTTTTTTTTTTTAAGTACTGTGAAGGGGTGGTGGAAAGATGCGAAGAAAAATTGAATAGTTTGCAAGCCCGGGACTTCCCCCTCTCTCCTTTTTTTTTTTTTTTTTTCCTCCCGGCAGGTATTTTGTCTCCCTCTCTCCCTCGCTCCCTGGGATGAGTGAGTGTCAGTAAGTGTTGGCAGGTTGGCTGCCGGCTGCCTTATAGAAGAGGCTCAGTTTTGCGGCGCTGATCGGCGGGAGAATGAAGTGACGGAACCCGGAAGTAGTGGTGGCCATAGCCAGTCCTGCAGCGCGGCGGCGGCGGCGGCGGGGAGCGGCGGCGGCGGGAGCGGCGGGGCGCGGCGGCGGGCGCGGGGCGGCGGGGCGCCCCAGCCGGCGGAGCGCCGGGGATGCGCAGCGCGGCGGCGGGGCGGCCGCGGCGCCGCGCGGGGGGAGCCGCGCAGCAGCCCCTGCCCCGAGCGAAGCACGGCGTGTAGGAAGGAGCGAGCGAGCGTGCGAGCGAGAGGGGAGGGAGGGAGGGAGCGAGGGAGGGAGGAGGGAGGGAGGGAGAGAGGGAGGGAGGAGGGAGGGAGGCAGGGGAGGAAGGACGGGGAGAGTGCGTGTGTGCGAGAGGGGGGAGAGGCAGGGGAAACTGCAGAGAGCGAGAAGAAAAGTGCGGTAGAAGCCCGGCCCCGGGTCGGTTCACGCTGCGTTATTTGAGCAGCAGAATACCTTCCGATGTGCCCGCCGTGTGGGGCGCCCGGCGCGCGCGCGGGGCCGCTCGGTCCGGTCGCGGGCTCTCGCCGCCGCCGCGCGCCGTGCGCGAGCTCGGGGGCTCTGCGAGCTACAGCGCGCGGGGGGGCCGCGCAAAGTTGCTCTTCCCGCGGCGGCACCGATCCTGATCCCGCCGCGCGCCCCCGGCCCCGCCGGCGCGCCGTGCTGCGAGCGGGGCTGCTTCCCTCTGACAGCGCATTGTGCTCCTCTAAAAATTAATTTTCCAGGGCATGGAGAGAACGCCTCATTCAAACCGTGTTGGGCACCGCTCTTCATTAACTGATCTCTGCTATCAAGCACGCTGTGGATGTCTTGGGGGGGGGGGGGTCGGGGGGGGGGGGGGGGGGTGGGGGTAAAGGGGGGGGGTTGCGGGGGGGGGTGGGGTTGGGGGGGGGGGGGGCGGGGTGGAGGGGTGGGGGGGGATGGTTGGGTGTGGGGGGGGTGGCTGGAAGGGGGGGAAAGGGGAAGAGGCGGGGGGAAGAGGGAGAAATCCTTTAGTTTTGCGATTAGGCTGCCAGGCTTTGTAAAGGGCTTAAAAACAAAGTCATGCTCAGCCTTTTGTAGGAGAGATCCAGATGTTATGTAGATTTCTGTTTGCATGTTCGTTTTGAGCGGGTCTGGCGGTGAGCGCTGTATTTACGTGTGTGTTGCAGGACTTCAACGTTTTTCGACGTTGCGCTTGTGGAATGTATGCTGGAGTATTAGCTCGGTAATGCCTTCTAATGGTAGTGCTAATTACAGTGGGGTTATTTAGCAAATTAAGTGAGATGATGCACCCCCCACCCTTGAGCACCAAATGAACTTTTCCAAACACACAGGCGCACACACACACACGAGTTAATTTTGGTGCGTTTCTGTCGCCCAATCACTTCGCTGGAGCTATACCATGCCTTACCTCAGAGCAGTCAATTACCAAAGCTACCCGGGATCATCAATCATGGGGGGTGCTTGAAGTTTAGGGGAGGAGCGATGGTCAAACTATCGATTGCTGCAGTTTTGTCCTCCCCAACCCCCCACCCTCGTTCACGGTCCCCTGCACATAAAATCTAAAACAGACTATCCCGTTAATAGTGGGATTTATCAATGATTATGTACCCGATTGTGAATGTGGCCTCATACATAGATGGCTTTTGAAAATACACGGCAGAAAAAATGATATTCAGTTAGATTTTGGTTTGCCTTGCTTTTCGTGATGATGACGATGCTTTTCACTGGTTTTTTTTTGTTGTTGTTTGGTTGGACTTTTTTGGGTTTTGATTTTGTGGTTGTTTTTTTTGTTTGTTTGTTTTTTGGTTTTTTTTGTTTGGTTTTTTTTTTAAACTTTAGGAAAATGACTCAAGGGATGGGTATAGATATTTGGCCTGATTTTAATAGGCGAAGGGAATGAGCTCCAGAGGTCAATAAACCCCTCCAAAATGATGAATGATTGAGTACCTGTGATGATGATAGTGATTACCGGAGCAATTAAACAGTTTGATTAAATGAGCCATCATAACAATGATGTCTGCGGGAAATCAGCCCTCACATATAAAGAAAGATAGTGTGGAGGGCTGACAAATGCCAGTGGGCATTCCTGCATGTTCCGCTAGAGCCGAGCCTTGCAGAGCAGGGCTGTATTTACAAATATGAGGGGAATATGGAGAAAAGTCCCTCTCCTACTTTTAGCGAGAGTTGCACTCTGCTTAAAACCCGCCAGAAGCCGGAGAGCAGATCCGGTTTGTTTTTTTTTTTCCTAGAGGATCTACAAGATTAAAGCTAGTCCCAAGAGCAACCGAATTGCTGTGACTGACTTTCACGGGACTTTAAAGAGAGGTGAGTAGAAGAGCCCTTAGTATGTAGATCTCTTTCAAGCAGTGATTAAGTCGATTCATTTCGTAGGGAAAAAGTCAGCCTTCTTGTGCAGTATTTTTTACTCTGTCGTATAAATCGGTAACGTAATTCAAGATATTCATGGTAATGAATGCTTGGCTAATCCTTTGGGTGTGCGGAGACCTACAGAGCAGTAGGTTATGCAAATCCTTTCCTACTTTTACAGCGGTAGTTTTCTAACAGATTTTTTTTTTTTAAGAGGTCTAGTAATCGGTGAATGTTATTTGGCGTTTTTTCCTTCTTTCTTCCTTCCCCCTTCCTTTCCCCCCCGCACCCCCCCGCGCCCCAGAGATGCCAGATTTCTCAACTTGCCTGGAATCATTTGCTTGTGATGCAGCCAGCTTAGAGGACGTGGTTCAAATATTTGTAGCTTCCAAACTTGTTTTTTAACCGAGGCAGTGCCTTGCCCCTTGAGGCATACAAGTGTGTCTCTTTTAAAACAGTTTTGATATCACCAAGGAAGGGGTCTTTCCTTATAACCTGGTTGTCCAAAAGTAATCTAGCTCCACTGAAGGTTCCATGTATTTGTTCAGACTTCAAGCTGTAAAAGTTCATCAGTTTTCTTCACAAAAAGAAGTTTTTAGATTACTTGGCTCCCATAGAATAAATCACTTCATTGCTTAGAATATAATTTTAGACACTTTTTTTTTCTTTTTGGCAATTCTGTTTTTCACAGAAGTCTCTGTAGATCTCGGTTCTCCTGACTAAGGAATTGTTAGAAAACAGACTAAAATCAAAGCTGAAAAAAAAGCAGCCAAAGGTTTTTGCACTGTTCAGTGCTGCTCCTTTCACTTGTTTAATTTTTGTTTTCTTTTTTTTTTTTCCCTCCTAAACTAATTAACCCCCTGCGTTGTCTCGTCCTGCTGTGCATGTGTGTAATCTGGTACAGAGACCAACTTAAGAAATTTTTTTAACTTGATAGAAAGTGAAATTGCATATAGTAAATGAAGGGCTTTCATGTTCCTCCTGCGTATTTTTTTTCCATGTGAAAAGACTTGAAGCCTTTTTCCTCTTTGCTATCCCAGTGGATTAAAGCACACAGAGAACATGGTTTATAAAGCGTTATAGTTTAGCCATTAAAAAAGAATCTCAATTTAGCACCCTTAAGTGAAAGTACTCAGCTATTAACAAAGATGCTGTTGGGAACTCGGAGGAAAATGGGACACATGCGTGGAGGGGGTGGGGGCTTTCAGATACTTAGGTAATTTTTTATTTACTTCCCCCCCCAGACTGGTGCTGTTTAAAAAACAGCAATTCGGGAAAATTAAAATGGGCTAATTTCCATTTCTCCTGCATCACTTTCACAGCGAAGGCTGTTTTCAGGACAAGTGTGAGAGACGAGTTGGGGTGTGTGAGTCTGTGTGTGTTCGGGGTTTTGTTTTGTTTGGGGTTTTTTTTGTTGTTTTTTGTTTTGTTTTGTTTTGTTTTTAATAGATCGACTCAAAAGTCCAAAGAGAAATGAGGTGTCTGGTATGGAAGTGCATCTCAGTCAACCGCCAGCTCCTTTTGCCGAGGCTGGAAATGGTTTTAACAGGCGGTAAAATTTCATCTTGTGGTGTCAAATTGGGGTCAGTTTGGGGTTAGCGCTCTCAGTGTCCGAGCAGGAGCTGTCCAGCTGTGTGGGGATTCATTAAGGGCAAAAGATCCGTTTCAAGAAAAACAATACAAAGACAATCAGAGGGCTAAAGATCCTCTTCAAATCGCATTTTACAAGTGCACCAGAACAAATATGGATGCTGAAACCTATTCCCTTCAAACTCCTAAATCGGCTTCTTAGTCCTTGGAGGGAGCGAGAGAGAAAATCCTCTAAAACTTAAGAAGAGTCTGTTTTCAATCAGCCTTTCCGAAGTGTGGCATCTTAGTCCTTTGCTGGCTTTGAGACATGCCTCTCTCGCTCGGTCGCTACCTCCCTCTCTCTCTTTTTCCACAGCCTTGCAAAAGCGGATGGCACAACAGGTAATATTTCAGATTTCAAGAATAAATCCCTCCGGAGACCTTAAACTGCTGTTTTGCATGCATGTGTGTGCTTAG